TTCTGGCTGATGAGCTGCTTGTTTTTTAACGCCCTCATGTTTTTCTTTCCAGTGTAGCAACTTGCCTAGTCATAAAGTTTTCTTGCAATACGCTCCAGCGGAGCGGAAGCGATCTCTGATTGTTATCACATTTCTCCTTGTTACGTGGTGGCAACGAACATTACAGGTCCAGCGAGGTTAAAAATGGCAAACAAATTATTAGTCCTTTCTTGTTTGTTCAACTACCTTTCAGGATGATGCAAAATGTTTAAGTAAAGGTGAAACCAAGTACTATTGCAAATTTTGTCTCCAAGTTACCATAGATGGGTTTTGAAATCAAAGGAATTGTACGCGCATCATGAAGGATGTACTTATTAAAAGTAGGCCTAAAGAAATGGCGATGATGGATTGTTAACTTCAGCAACATGTGAGTGTCCAAGGGGAAGGTGGTATGTAGCCATATGGCTGCCACGGCAATACATGTGAACAGGAAAGGTTTTTCTAAAATAGACCTGCCAAATTCATTCGGATCACCCGGCCAAGAACATATGTCTTAAAGCAGGAACAAGTGTTAAGCTTTCGAGATGGCTTAAATTCTTTTCCTCCTATTCAAAGCCCTGAATACACCGCTGCAGTCGATTGCTTTTCTAGAAGTTGCTCGTGATTTTTTTCTTAATAATGCTATAGTTCTTCAATAAATGTAGACTGTTCCTCTTCGACTGATGCTTTTGCCAGACGCCTGAAGTCAACCGTTGGAAATATTGCACGCTCCACCTCTCATAGAGAGCCTTTTGCCCATCTATGCTGTCAACAAAAAACAATTCATAAAACACAGTTTGAAGGACCCTCCAAAGAGCTGTTCAACACGTGGATGCAATCCACAAAGATCAAAGAAAGAAGTCATATCTGGGCGCAATACGAGACCGTGTTGTCTTACAGGAAGCAGATTTTTGGGGTGCTTGATGCTATTAAAGAAAAAGAACTGTCAGGCCATGACTTATCCCATCTCTTTTTCAAAACTCTCAAAGGAGAATACTATTTGGGCAACAGAGACAGCATAATCTGGGGTCAGATGCATGAAGAGGTAGCACTCAAGCTTATATTGAGAAAACAATAACAATTACTTCTACTGGCCTTCATCTTTCCCAGTGGCTATCTTGGCTGTACCCCTGATGGTATTATTAGTTCAAAAAGCAATTCAAGGCCAGGAGCACTTGAAATTAAATGTCCTTTTAAAATATAGAGATTCCACCATCAAAGAAATGGTGGAACAGGAATCGGCTTCTCAAAGTAAGTGAAGGGATTTTTCTTAACAAAAATTCAAGTTAACCCCTCACATAATTACTGGCATCAGTTTTCAAGCTGAAATTGCAGTTCTTGGTGTCACTTGGGCACATTTTTGTAGTATGGACTAACGAGGATTATGTTGATTGTATCTGTTTCAAAAGACGAAAATGGGAGAAGATTAATACACTTGCTGTCAGACTTTATGTAAATACTCTGTTACCAAATTGTTATACAGCTGAAAAATGAGGATAAACTGTTTTTTTTAGATTTACAAAGTTTAGTTTTGTAAAGTACAATAGTTGCAAAAAGTCCTGAGACACCTTGGCATTTTTTCGTTTCTTCTCTTAGGTGGGTAAGGTGCAAGGAAGAACAATTCTAGAAGAATATGGTTTTTATCCTTTCTTACAAGTATCCCAAGGACTTTTGGTGACTACTGTAGACTTCTGAATCCTTATTTCTTTAATGCATTTTAGTTCACTTAATGCTGTTAGCTATATTTTTGATTGATATAAAATTTTAAAACATACCAAGTTTCTATTTTTTGAGAAAGAACATTACTATCAAAATTAAAGCAGTTATGTTCTAATAAGCTTGCAATAAAGACAAAAAGCTTTATCATAAAGAGTAGTTAAATTTTGGGAAGCTTGCTTGAACTACTTTTCAAATTAACATAAATCAGAATGGAATTAATTCATTTTGTCCATAATATTCCATAAATTTTGTAATATTCCTATATAACAGGAACTGGAGGTTAACAAGAGATGCACAGACTTGGACAAGCTTGCTAGCTATTGGTCTTTGATTTGCTGAGATGGAATTCAAAATTCTGTAATTTCGCAAGCGCTCAATAGGCTCTTTCACATGTATTCTGGTTCTTGCATTTTTCTAGAAAACTATGGCTTCTGCTTTTGTGAATCTTGCCTTTCCTGTCAAAAATGGATGGCAAGTTAAGGAAGACACTTGTGGCATCAATCATGAATGAGAAAACCTTTATCAGCTAAAATGAGATCACCAGCCTGAAAAGGAGAAAGCAATGAAATTCAAATGTCAGACAAGGGAAAAACGTCCTAATAAATGTACCTAAGAAAGAAACCAATTACTGTTGAAATGTTGGTATTGCTCATACCTTGATAAAATATAGGTCTATATTAATGCATGCAACTGGCAGTTTCAAAGTTGATCTAAGATATTGCTGCATTATCCAAATAAACTTTATTGGTATCATTTTACAGGTAATGCAAGTTATTGTTTCTTTGTTTATTGAAATAACCAAATATGAATTACTTACTTTCGAATGACCTAGCACTTTTGATTCTTGGGTAACAACTTTGTCACTGGTACTGCCTGGATACCCCTCACTAACAAATGTAATTGCACCATTAGGAGCAACACCAATCAAAAATTTTCCTGTCAAATTGTGTTTATAATTGCTGTAAGAAAGGTTAGCAGCATCAAGGTCCCTCCTAGGTGTTGACAGACGGAATTCTGTACAGTCAATAATGATCCGGCAGTTGGAAAAGTCACCAAAAGACTCTGGCATACTTGATTTGTTCTTTGTTAGGGATGGTATAGTTCGCATTGCTCCTTTAAACAAAGTCTCATGCATAAGGTGGAGGTACGTTAGAAAAATGTTTGTAACTGTAGTTCTGCTGACTCCAAATCTTGTTGCTAAATCAAAGAAAGGTATGTCCATTTTGAGTTTCATTAATGAAATCAAAAGCTGGTTTTTGCTATTAACTGACTTGACTTCAAATCCATACCAGTAATTAAACGGCTTGAAGCGATTCAACAAGCACAATAAGACCTCAAAGGCATCTTTATTCAAACTGGTATAGTTCAGAATGTCCTCGGAAGACAAATTTTCGTACTTGAAAACTTTTCCTTCAAGCTCCTCAATCCGAACCAAAGCTTGGTTCAAATCATACCTGAGTCGAGTGATGACTTGCTCAGATTCTGATGTATTCGAGCTGCTACTAGTTGCACTACAACTAGCGATGGGAGTTGAATTAAAACCCTGGATGAGTGCAGTATTTTGCATGGTGATGTCTTCTATGTTATCTGTGATGTCACTCCTAGCTTTCTGTGACACTTTTGACTGCCGCTTCGGCTCACGCTCATCACATTCAGCTCCCCTCAAATTCAAACTTGGAACTGCACTTCTTTTGAGCCTTTGCTTGCGAAATTCGACAGGAGTATAATTTCTAATTTGCGAAAAATCTGCGAGCTCAAAATGCCTGCTGCAGACGTAAGACGATCTTGATGGTGTATAATCAGCACGACAAATTCTCATTTCCCAAGCTTTTGATCGCTTCGTGTCCGTTGGAAATCCGTGGAAAGACAAGTTGGGATTAATTTCATAGTCAGCATTGCAACTAAACACGCAGCAGTACTTCGGCATATTTAGACAGAAACTCATTGCTTTCGTGTTTATACTATAATGTGAGCTTAGGCCTAATGAATACAACCCGTTGCCACCACGTAACTAAGGAGAAATGTGATAACCAATCAGAGATCGTTTCCGCTTGCGGAGCGTATAGCCAACAGTGGACTAGGTATAAGTACCTCAGTCTAAATAAAGTCTTTGGCGAAGTTTTAAAACTAGGTCTCAGATTATGCCAGGAAATCAAGTTTCAGTTATATAACTTGCATAGTTACAAAGTTATAGTGCAAGACCTAGTATAGAATTGGGTACAAGAACCATTGTTAAAAATTGCTTTTGTGGTATTATTAAATCTGTTTTGCATCTCATTTTATCCATTATGTCAAATAAGGCAAGAAAAAGTTTCATTTTTTACCTTGCAAAGTTAAGATTGTTGTAGAAACTGCATATTCATAAAAGAGGACTGGGTATGAGTACCCCAGTCCAAAAATAGCTTTTGGGGGCATTTTTTAATCTTGATATAAATTTCATCTCATTCAGCATATCGGATTGTGTGCTTGTACCAAACTTCATGCTATTATCATAACATGCACAATTCTACTTCTATGCGTCTGTGTAGTGATTCCATTCATTCTAATTTTTCCTCACCTATCGCCATCCATTTCTACTTTGTTTATTTTACCTACAGTAATTTCTTCACATCACTACCTCATCACTACACGCTACGAGCATATCACTATGTCAACATTTCCTCTCTTTTGTTTAGGCCCTCATCAACCCTACACATCTACCTAAATCTCAAGTCCTAAACTATTCACACTTAGCCTAGCCCTTCCTATCCTTTGTTTTCCTTACATCATTAGTGTTAATTCATTTCTGTATATAAGCATGTTAATTTTTATGTAAGTTCAGTTCAGTTCAGTTGACATCAGAGTTACACAGGCAACACACTGTCTCTCTCACTGGCTCCGTGTTCTCTGCACGTAAAATAAGACACGCTGGGTTGGAAATGACACGTTAGTCAAGGATGGATTTATTTAGTGTTTACATTGATCGCCGTTCTGATGTACACTAAATCTGCACTATACATGCATCCAATACTAAAATTTAAGAAAAGGTTTTATGATAAGGATAACAATAAAGATGAACATTAAGAAGATAAGAACAAACTAAATCGATTAAAAAAAAGAAAAGGGAAAAGGGGTTAAGGATCATCTTGGATCCGCTAATCTCGTCTCTTCTGCCATACTGTTCCAGATCGTTCAGCTCTCTATTCAGATCGTCAATCGTTTTGTGAAGATCAGTGGTGTCTTTCTCCAATTTCGACTTTTAACAATATTATTTGAGACTTGCCTTTGATTTTGCTGAGAAACTCAGCTAACTTCTCGTAGTTAATGAGACGCTCTTCCAAAGTATGCAGACGGTCCAGTGTTGCTTTGTTTGATATTTCGAACTTTGAGGTAAGTTCTTCCATACGTGTGTTAAAATTTGTTTCTTTAATAAATCGATAACTTCTTTCATACTTTCGTTCACTGATACTGTGTCCTTTTTGTTCCGCTTGTCAGAAGACCCCATGATTGTTGGTTAACAAAATTACAAGGTTACACCATTCAAAATCCAAAACGATCCAAAAAAGTAAAAAATAGCCAAAAGAAATACAAGTAAAATAAAAAGTTGAATTTATTGAGACAACATAATCAAAGAGTATCGTGAACATTCAAGTCACTCAAAAACACATCGGCATGCCAATCCGTCGCTTTACAAGTTCAACCTAACTAGCAAGGCTGTTTCATATATCCTAATTTTGGTGGCTGGTTTGTTATCTATAGTTGGTCACCCGATCGTTGAGATTTTCCCTTGCGTAAATTGAAGAAGCTGGTAAGACCCGATTCAAAAATTGAAGAACATTTTTTATGTCCTTCAGAAGAATGCAACATGGTCCACAAATGGGAAGATTGTTTTATTGCATTGAATGAAAGGAATATATCAAGGAATTGTGGAGAACAGATATTTAACAAGCTATGTCAACAGAATCTTTTGTTTACAAAACATTTGTCACGTGGGAAGACAAAGCTTAATCCTTACAGAATTTATGTATATAGACCTTTAAATCAGTGGCTGAAAGAAATGTTCCAGTTTCCAGAATTCAGGAGTCTGTTGGCATCCACGTTCCACCAATAAACCGCACACAATATTTTAGAGGATGTTTGGGATGGGAGTATGTGGAGTGAGTACCAATATGACCTTTCCACTGGTAGAAACTTTTTAAAGGAAGAAAATAACATTGTGTTCAAGCTTTCTGTCGATTGGTTAAAGCCATTCAAACGAGAACAGTATTATTTTGACGTGGTTTCTTTGGTTGCTTTGAACCTCTCTCACTTAGGATCGTAAACTTAGGAAATGGGTTCATCCGGTAGGGATCATACCTGGTCCACATGAGCCTAAAACTCACATCAACTCTTTTCTGAAACCATTGGTTGATGACTTTTTGTGTTTATTGGAAGGTATTGATCTTTTTGTTGAAGACCTTCAACAGATTATTACTGTGAAAGCGATGCTTTTTTGCATCTGATGCGATTTACCTGCCTTGAGAAAAGTTATTCAATTTCTTTCTCACAAGGCAAATAAAGGGTGTAATTTGTGCAAGTTTAAAGCAGAACGTGAAAATTCTATCAGAGCATCAGGGAAATGAGCTACTTCTCAAGAATATTTTTGAGGAGCACACAAAATTTGAAGTTCGTGATCAAGCAAATTAGTACAGCAATGCAAGAAATAAACTCATGCTCAAGATATTGCAAAAAAGAATGGTCTTCGATATACAGAGCTGCTTCGATTGCCTTTTTTGATCCTGTGAGAATGTGTGCAGTAGATCCTATCCATGATATTCTTCTTGGTCTTGTACAAAAAGAGATGTCTATTCTTCTTAATAGTGACAACGACCTAATTTTTGAAAATTTCAGCTTTCCAAAGTCAAACCAAGAAAAATAAGGAAGCGAAAAAATCGATTGAAATGCATTTTGACTGTGGAAGGCTTCCAGTTTCAATTATGGAAAAAGCAACTTCAGATTGTTTCACAGCACAGCAGTGGTTTCTCTTCGCTGTGATTTATGCCAGACCTTGCTTCTACAGATTGATTCCTGCTCAATTGTATAAATGCCTTAAAATCGTGCACAGAATCCAGCAGAATCACTTCTTCCATCACCCCCAAAACAATATTTTGGAAGACACCCAAGACATTGACCACTGCTGTTTGCATTTGATCCCATGTGTTCAAAATGACTGGTGTAAAAAACAGCCGTTGATTTCTGCAAAATGTTGATACACCAGGAACTGCTAGCTTCAGGAATGATCAGAAGTCTGAAAACTTGGCATAGCTGTTACCAGACAAGAGAACACATGCAGTAACAAGAAGGTCATTTACATATATCTTAGAAGTTCTTGACTGAGAGACAACTTCTGAGGACACCAAGAACCCAATGTGCTTGTTTTTACAAGCCCACCTAAACTGCAATACTGATCCCTATGCATCTGTCTCAAATGAAATAAGGGCATTGCAAACTTTATCACCATCCATTTCTGTGCGTTTAGTCCCTTTTAACTCCATGAGTTTATTGGCAGTGACGACGAATTTGTTCCTGTTGACAATCTCCATCTCTTCTGGCATGTTGTCTGTTTTAAACAATTGCTGCAATGTATTACCAATTTTCTTTTTAATCATTACAGTGTTTCCTTCTGCTGGTAACTCAATAAATGAGCTTGTATCATCACATATTGTTGTCTCCAATTCCATTAATGTATTAGAAGGAACAGGTGTATCACTTGTAACCAGTACACTTCTATTTACGTCTAATTCATGCTCTGCTTGATCTGCATCGAGATTGCCAATTTGATTAATGTGATCCACAATGTGATCAACTATTTCAGTGTCATTTATTTATTTATATATATTCTAATAATGCTGCTGGAAGAACTCCAGATAAATTAAAAAGTTTCTGTCCTGAAGCCAATGAAGAAGGCCACTTGCCTTACGAACACTTACTTGGTCTCTTTTCCATGTGTTTATTATCATCTCAAAGCACTTTATCAGATAATCCTTGTGCTCAAACACAGTTGAGACAATTCTACTTTGAAAATTCCATCTGGTTTGCACAGAGCGAGGAATTCTTCTGGCCACACATTCATCCAGGCATGATACTCTCTTTGGAAAGCGAGACAAAAAAAATTAAAATGCATTTAAATTTGCAAAGAATACTCTTACACTGGTGATATGTGAAACAGCCTGTTGTAGTACCAGGTTGAGTTGGTGGACATAGCAATGAATATAGTGAGCATTGGGATATGCATCCTTTACTATGCTCTGAACACCTCTATGTTGGCCACTCATTACTGATGCACCATCATAGCATTGTGCAACAAGCTTCTGTTTGTCATTGTCATAAAGTGAACCTTCATTATTATTATTATTATGAGTAATATGCTGAACCTTGCTTTGGTTGCCCTGTGCAACAATTGTTTTGTTATGCTTTGTTATATTAATAAGGGTGTTATGGAATTTTAGTGGAGTTGTGTTTTGGGATTCGAATATGAAAGTAAACGAAGTGTCTTCTATATGAATTGGCCTACGGAATTAAGAGAATATAACATTGGCGACGAGGATAAAACCATAATAACATAGCATATGTTATGAAGGATGGCTTTCAGTCTAAATCTACACCCACTTCCTGAATTTGATCCAGATATTGAAGTTGGTGCTAGTCTTTCTACGAGATGGCGACAATGGCTTCGTGATTTCGACACATATATTCTTGCCAGTGGTATAAGAGATCTTGGACGCAAACGAGCCATTTTACTTCATCAAGCAGGTTCCCGAGTTCGCGAAATTTTCAGCCAGATTCCTGATACAGGCGCTGCCGCTGATTATGAACTGGCTCGTGATAAACTCACTGCATATTTCGAGCCTCAAACAAACCGTCGGTATGAAGTGTACAAGTTTCGCCAAACTCGCCAGGAACAAGGGG